GTTTGTTTCGCCGATGGCATCTTCTGGTAACGGTACAACGGCGGGAACAGGTTCACCGTGCGGTGCATGCAAGTTCCTGAGGAGGAAGTGCGCATCCGATTGTATATTTGCACCGTACTTCTCATCGGAGCAAGGAGCAGCAAGATTCGCAGCTATTCACAAGGTGTTTGGAGCAAGCAACGTTTCTAAGCTCTTGCTTAATGTTCCAATCCATGATCGATGTGAAGCTGTCGTCACCATCGCCTACGAAGCTCAGGCTCGTCTTCATGACCCTGTTTATGGATGTGTCTCTCATATCTTTGCCCTCCAACAACAGGTAGTTGACCGAGTAATCGTTAGTACTCCATCGATCTTTATAGACTACTATTTGTTTAGTCACTATGGAATTTATTGATTGGTATGAGATTTCGTGCATGAGATTGAATGTTCTCCAAATCTTGATGAATTAGCTTGTAACAACTTCTTTTCCCATCATATCGTTAATTTGTTTTCACATTAGGGCTTTTCTTCCTTTTTTGTTTTGCGTAAATTTTCTTAAAAAATTAAAGTTTGAGATTTTAATTATATAGATTTAGCAAACGTTACAACGATAAATAATCAGTTTTAATTTTCAATAAATTTTTGTCATGATGTTTTCATTTCTTGTGTTTGTCATTTTCGATTCGTCAAAATTTTGAGTAAACGACATTGTATTCTTTCCGTTTCATGAAGATAGAAGTTATGAATATTTTGTGTATATTAACGAAACGCTTATAAACAAGTAAATGTATATATATATATATATGCATTTACAATTCTTGGAATATGAAACTCTATATATAAGTATGTAAATTACATGTGTACTAAGATACAGAAATACCATATAGATTTACATAAAAATTGCAAAAAAAAATTGTTTTGGCAGAAAACATCAATTTAAATGATGAAAAATAGACTATAAACATACATATTCATTATAAACGGAAGAAACATGTGTACTCATTCGTCTATTTATGATCTTACAACTTTTGAATAGAATTGGATATCAATCTTGTTTAACTTAGCGTTTGATGCGTTTATATAGGTGGCTTACTTGCAAGCACAAGTCATGCAAATGAAGGCACAGATCGCCGGTCACCAGACGTCAGCCGCCGGAGATCTAAGACACAGCTCGGAGAGTACTAACCAGTTTATGACGTGGCAACAAACTAGTGGCTCTCCGATCGGCAGTGCATACTCAACACCGTATAACCAGCATCAGCCTTATTACGTTCATGTAAACCCTAACAATCCGGTCTCGCCACAGAGCTCGCTAGATGAATCTTTCAGCAACACGAGCAGTGACGTCACCACAACAGCTAACGTGCGAGAGACTCATCAAACCGGAGGAGGCGTATACGGTCACGATGGTTTAGGGTTTCACGAAGGATATCCTAACAAGAAGAGATCAGTGAGTTATTGTAGTAGCGATTTAGGTGAGCTTCAGGCTTTGGCTCTTAGAATGATGAAGAACTAAGATAAGTTGGTAACTTATGTAGACAGACAGAGAACAAATGAGATGTTTTTATTTGAAAAAAAAAACAAGACAATAGAAAATTCCATGTTCACATGCTATCATCAATAAAGATGTCTACATCCATGTTTGCTTTGTAGTCCCTGACGTTCGGCCATCGATCAATAACTAAATATTTGACTTGACACTAGTAATCTTTTTTATCGTTAGCTGAACCGATAAATCTTATGATTTGTTTTGGAAAGCATACCAATTGTTGAACGGAGAATTTAAACAGATATGATTTACTCATGATCGATCAATAATACAAATCTTCTAAACGGAAAAAATTTAGTACAATTGCTTATAGTTCATATGATCCCGTTTGTTGATCAATATAGATGTTTCTATTTGACTAGTTAAGCTGATATTCTTCACGTATATATGATGATTGCATATTTGCATGTCTTGGATTATCATAAGCTCTTAGATTACCAATTGAATTGAGGACTATCCAGTCGACACTATAATATTACTTCCATGAATAAAATAAACCAAGCAAATAATGTCACAGGAGTACAGACTACAGAGGATATAATATGTAGGATAAATTGTATAGGTTAGTAATAGAAATGCTTGTGTGTAGTGTAGTAGACTGAGCTCCATCACCTTGTATGACTTTGTTTAAGGATTCGCTAAATTTCCTTAACTTACAAATGATTGTAGACGTGTGCGGCGCGCATCCAAGGGGTTGACATATTCACATGACACACTTATTAAAATCTTTAAATTTTTAATTTTGATTGGTATATAATTCATTCCGTAAATTATTTATTTGGCTCGTTAGAAATTTGCTCTAGTTTCTGTGAAAGTTAAAAAAAAATCTTCAATTAGTGTTGACCACAAATTAGGAAGTAAAATATATTTGCGTTTTCAAAAAATGACAAGATGAGTGTGTGTATATTATTGTAATTAAATCCAAACCTTGCAAATAAATTTTCTTACCTCTATGAATTGATATTCTTATATGGTTGTAATTAAATGTCAACTGACCATTTCTATTTAGCATCTCTATGAAGGCTAAAAAGGCGTATGGTCTTAACGATAAAAAATAATGTGAGTAAATAAGTCAACTTTTATTTTCTCTATAAAACATGAATTTTAAAAGGGAATTAAAGAATAGGAAACGTTAAGGGCCTGATTGGTAACAGCTGTAGCTTTACATTTTTTGCTGTAGAAATATGACTGTAGGTTTATTTGCTGTGGCTGTAGATTTTATTGCTGTAGTATTTTGGCTGTAGAATTTAAAATTTTGGAAAGTTAAAAATTATGTGGTTTAGGAAAAAAAGCTTTCTACAGCCAAAAAAATGAATTAAGGAAATATTTTGGCTGTGAGAAAAAAAAGGAAAGCTAAAGCTTCTAAAGCTTGATTGGATGTATTTCAAATCTTTAGAAATTTTTTTGCTTTGTAAAGATTCTAAAGCACTTGCCAATCAGGCCCTAAATTGTTGATAAAGAAAAAACAATTTGGAGAACATAGGAGGGATGGATCATGGATGTTATGATTGTCTGTCAGAGCAGCAACTCATCGAAAATCATTTCATCTATAACTTTACTAATATATAAATGGACCACGCATTAATATTACATTTAATAAACATGTTTACCTAACATTAACTAAGCAATGTCTTGTTAATTATGATAGCACCAATCCCCCATATAAATTGTAGTGGTCCTATTAGACAAAATGTCCCCTAATTTGTATGCAATCTTTTAAATTAAATTCAAATAATGATCTTTAGTTAGTTTTACTTTGCCAACTCTAATCAGTCTCATCTAACTCTAACCCGTTTTCCCACCAAGAAGCTTCGATTGTTGTCCACATCCAAAATCACAAGTGCTCTTTTAGTCTTTTTAGAAAGGACTTTATGGTTTGTAATCTCGAGGTAACCTAATCAAAAACAAGTTATTTATAGAAAAGTTTAATTAAGCACATGATCAATATATTTAACCTAGACGCTTAAAAAAGATCAATAGTTTCACCTGGTTAGTTAGTTTGACAGTCATTAATTAAGTCTAATATTGTTTTGATAGTTTGCCTTCGTTTTAACATTTGGTAGACTACCCAAATATCAAGTAAAGTTGTAAAATGTGTAATACATGTCTCACCTTATTACTTTATCATTAACATGTCATAATGTTGGTCACTTCAACAAGTACTTTTTTGAAGTGACCAACAGTTTTATATCTCATATCATTCGCAATTAACAGTTCATTTTTGGATTTTTGTTTTCACTTTTCAATGAACAGTCGACGATATACATTGACTGTGGTTAATGAAATGCATCACGTCGATTTTATAATATTTTTAGAGTATCATATGATTAAGGTGAGAAACATCAAAATTGTTTAAAAACATATTTCCAAGCCAAGTTTCTAATCTAAACTTAATTATGGTTGTGAGTATATGAACAAGAATTCGGCGATGGCTGTTCTTAGTCAAGCCGTTTATGTATGTGCGTATTTATTATGTTTATTAAATAATATCGAGTTCTTCGAGCCCATTACCGAAGACAATTTGTATTCAATCTCTCTCTTTCTTTTTACTCTTTATATAAAACAGATCAAAAGCAGATGGTCAAAGCATGATATCACCACTTAGACATTCATTCATCACAAACATGTAGTATATGTTTCGGAATAATATTAAAAAAACGATATATTTTTTTTGGTAAGTTAAAAAACGATATATTAAAAAAACGATATATAGAGAAAGGAAAAGGTAATCATCGAGAATTAATTAGATTTATAAAGGTAATTATTATTCATAAGAGAGAAATTATTTAGAAAAAGGTAAAGTAAAGAACTATTATAATGCGAATATATGAGTACAAATGACATGTCGACTGACAGGGAATAAACACGAACTATTGTCTTCTTGTCAAAATTTTCTTAATTGGTAAAAGGAACTGAAACGGCAAGAGTTAACGCACGTGGGACCCGTGGCTTAAGTACACAATCGAAGTCTTTGACCGTTGAACTATCTATTACACGTGCGGCCTGCTAAAGTCGTTTGTTTATAAAGATGGCCCACCTCACTATTTCTTTCCCCAGGCTGTGAATAATTAATTCATTTCTTTTATCAATGCATTGGAGCGTTGGAGGTGTCATGTGGTAGTAGTAGTTGTGAGACATTCTAGGCCCATTACTATGAAAACTCAGCCCAATACACTTTATAAATGGCCTGAATAGTTTTTGTACGTTAATCATAGAATTTTGTTGATGGTATGTGTCACGAGCACTACTAATACTATTTAGACAATCATATGTTGTAACAATTTGAAAATTCTCCATTCTAAAAAAATAAGAGAAGAAGTTGGAAAAGTCCGATGTAATGTGTATCTGGAGACATTATATAACTTTATAACCTTATAAACTAATGCCAAATGGAAACTAAAGCAATAAAAAACATTTCATCCATATAATTTATAAACTTAATATAAAGTAAAACTATATATTAATTTAGATCAGTTCTTGATCGTGTTCATTCATATCTTCATAGGCATCATGAATACGTAATGTACCCTAAACTCTCGGATAGCAGATCATTGCAGCCATCATGATATTGATTAAAAGTGTTCAAGTGTTGTAGATCCAATTCAGAGTATTTGGAAAATTCGCCGATGGTCGACACCGATTTAAGTTCTTCGCTGCAGCCACTAGAGGAGTTGTAGTAGTAACTCGCCGCTGTGGTATCTCCGCCAGCTCCTATGAACGACTTCATCCCGGTTTCGTTCTGGTGGTAGCACGACGTGATGATATTCTTTAGATCAGAGTGTTGCTCCGTTTGATAATTCGAAGTGGTCTGATGATGCTGATGATGGAGATCATGAGATTCTTGAAGATATTGAGGCTTAGTGTCTTGATAATAATTAGGGTTTTCTATGGATGGAGAATCAGTAGCCATCATTCTTTGTGTTGCTTGTTGCTTTAGAATCTCTAGCTGTGTTTGTAAATTCACAACCTACGAATAATACCACCAAAAAAATTAATGATCCATATTTACAAATTATGCATATACCATATGACATTCACATTTTGTTATATCCAAAATCAAAGATTACGGTTAATAAAGGAAGTTACTTGTTGTTGGAGGGAGAAGATATGAGATACGCAGCCATAAATGGGATCTTGACGGCGAGCTTGAGCTTCATAATAGATTGTAGTAGCGGCTTCGCGTCGATCTTCCATGGGAAGATGAGAGAGCAATTTAGAAGCATTGCTGGCTCCAAACACTTGGTGAATGGCTGCAAAATGTGAAGCTCCTTGTTCATGGCAAAAGTATGGGGCAAACACACATCCTTTTACACATCTCCTTCTTAAGAACTTACAAGCTCCACAAGGAGAGCCAGAGCCAGTCATAGTGATGACTATGTGTACTACGTACTTAGGTTTTTGATGAATGATGATTAACCTTGTGTAGCTTTAAGAATGGAGGAGCATTAGCTTAGGGTAAAGTTTTATAAAGATGTAGATGATGGTGGGTTTTGATATTTACATTATATAATCACAATTTGTCTGTTTAGTGGCCTACACCTTTCTCATTGTTGATTTTCATTATTTTTTTCTTAAATTTCTGTTAAGTAAAATTTACAATTGATCTGGATTTATTTTCTGTTTTTACAAAACCAAACATTCATATTATACTATATATAAATATGTCTTGACCTATCATCGTTTGTCTATATTCTTGGAGGATTTGATTGAATATATTCTCATGGATTTACGTTTATTATAATCATGGCATCCTAATAATTAAGTGCCTAGCTATCTTATTTGGAATGGCTCCATCTCTAGCTAGAACGTTCCATTTTCCATAGAAATAAACATCTTACCGTATAACTGGATTTAATTCCATGATAACGAAACTTGAATGAGACCGCTTAGGGCATCTCCAACGGTGTGTAAATTGGGGTCTCTTCATCGTTTCTCTGATTAAAAGTAGAAAAAAATAAATCAGAATGATTTATTTCCGAGAGAGCTGTCTCTCTTGAGAGAGATTTTGATTGGCAAGAGAGACGATGACGTGTCACTCTGTAATTGGTTTGTATTTTTGGTCAAACAAAAAAAAACGCGTGAAAAATCTCCAGCTTTTCTTTTCTTTCCCCATCTCTCTCTCTCTTAAGACAAAACAGATGGCTGTGGAGAGAAATCAATTTCGAGATCGATTGAGGATCGAATGAGAGTCTTCGATCAAGAAATCTTGTAATTGGTAAGAATCTACTACTTTTCTGCGGATTATCATGATTTAATTTTGGGAATTTGTTGTTGGTCGATTAGGGATTTTGAATTTTAGATTTTAGAGTAAAGATGAAGGTAGAAGTGCATGTATCAGAAGCTTATGGACTCTACTCGGAACGAGAATCAATTCCTAAATGGATGACATTCATTTCATCTGTTAAGGTAATGGATTGCTGCTTCTCTGAATCTTAAGACTTGTTATTGTTTCATGAACAAAATAAGGTAAAGAAGAAGAACGGCTGAGTTAAGAAACAACCATGAGTCTTATATATATGCTACCAAAGTGAAGGTGTGTGCTTTATATATATATCACTATTAATTTTTGTGAACTTGGTTTAGATAAAGAGCCATTGATGATTGAAAAAGACTGTCCACATTGTTTGATTCACCACTAATATGAATTCTTTAATTAGTCTGAGGCTCGTTGCTTTTTGTTTTTCCCGTCTTTGATTAATATCTCTCTTTAAGGCTTGTGGTAATATCTCGAGACATTGATGTATGCTTCTATATATGATTTAGATAGAGGTCTTGAGGCTTACTTAATTTTGAGTTATTTGCAGAGCTGAACAAGAAGGGATTGACATTCTCTTAAATTTAAAATTAAAAACATCAAATTTACAAATTTTGGTTTGATTTTGTAGCGTGTGAAGAAAAACAAAACCGAGATGGGATGAAGATTTTCAGTTTCCAGTAGATGAGCCTCCCATAAACGATAAGCTTTACGTTGAAGTCATTAGTTCTTCTTCAAGATAACTTCATCCCAAGGTAGAAACAAAAACAGATCTCCTTTGAAATCCCTTTTAAAGATTGCATCAAAACCATGTCTTTGAGAAATCAAGAACCAACATTTTATCTGATATGATCAGCTTGATCTAAAGCAATTATCGATTTCATGAGACGTGGCAATCTTCCTACTGAGACCTTTGTTCTTGGATCCAATCAATGTAAGACTTTGTTTGCTTTTTTTCTGTTTTTGCTTGGAGAGTATTTGTGGTTTGATAATAGGACTTGAAATCTGCAGATGGTTATGATTTCTTCCTGCAGATATGATGGATCAATTGGTTCAGCTTGTCAAGCTATGGCTGCAGTTGATCAGTTTGCATTGCAGTTTGGTCAGAAAATCATCTAGCTTCATCATTTGCGAAGCTAGAACCATATATATTTTTACATGTTTGAAATTTTTTTTTTTAAGAACCTACTTGAGAGAGATCACCATTGGAGTATGAAATTTTTTTAAAATAAAACACAAGCTCTCATTTAAAAATTTGACAAAACTTATATTAAAAAATTGGTGAGAGCTCATGGGAGAGCTCTCACCATTGGAGATGGTCTTAACCTCTTCATTAATCAATGGAAGTATATAATTTGTGTAATGTATTACCAAAGAGCAAATAAACATATATTAAGAAGGAGCCAAAAAATATAGTAGAGACAATTAACGGAGACATTGTATGGTATGTGATACGTCATATAGTCTGAGTAGAGTGTGATAGATACATTTTTTTTTTTTTAAAGGTAGTCTTTAGTATAATTGTAGCATACTAATCAATCTAATTATATATAATCTGGTTCATGATAAAGCTTTTCTCGCATTGTATGGAACTATGGATCGACAACCCTGACCCACACACGATAGATTGCAAATTTAATTTTTTGTTTTGTTTTGGTCAACAAAACCAGACTTTCTTTTAAAGTATTAAAACATGTATATTTGGCAGAATTCAAATTATATAGCTATGCTAATGATACAAGTTATATGATAATGAGAGAAATTATATTCACAAAGAATAGAATCAGTTCTATTGGCAGTTGTTGCTCTCAGAAAGAAGTTAAGCTCCAGAAATTTTATCGGATTCAAACCTTGTTTCGACCCTAGCTAATATGTATATGTAGGAGCGTTGGTCTAGAACTCGTCGATAATCAAAACAAAAAAATTATATTATTGTTCGTATGAAGTTAGATACACTTGTCTTCTCCGAGAGACAAAATTTCAAAGTCTAAAGTCTAAACCTCAATATAAGGGAATGGTCTACACAACTTAATATAAAAATTAAGTTGGTTCGAAGACAAAAGGATTTCCTTTCAAATAGGTCGATATATGACATTTCAAAGAAAACTTAAAGCCAAAGAGTATCGATTTCGTATTTTTGTGAGAAAATAATTGTGTGACAATTCTTTCTGACTAATGACCTAGAAAAAGTTGCTATATAAATTCAGATATAAGCATATGGAACATGAGCATATAATACCCAAAGGGACATAAACATTAGTATATTGATATATCGATCATACAACTAACGTCAGAAAATTAGGGAAAACTCATTAAAAAGTAAATATATGATATGGAACATTATCTTAAGTATACAAAACATAATTAGTGTTCCACTTATTTCATGTTCCGATTTGTATGTACATCGAGTTTATCTAGTTGGCCAAATCAAAGATTAGCCACCACTACCCACCATTAATTCGTTTTCTTGAGCTGTATTAGCAAACTCTACCAATATAACGACTATGCGTAGTCTAACATTTGTTTCATTGCATGTGCTTAGTTCCGATATAAACAATACTATACAAATAATAACATGTATCTCTAAGAAATTGTTAAGAAAATCAAACAAATGATTAGTTATGGGGAAAAGTAATTAGTACTATTAATTTATTAGCTTACAAAGGGAGTAATAAAAAGACATTGAGACATAAAAGCGGCGGCTAAGGGAAAGACAAAGTTGAACACTACCTAATATGAAAGTAAACGCAAAAGACGTAATTCTCACTTTCTTTTCTTGTGGGTCTATGCATTTGCTATAAGTGTTAAGTAGCTACCAATCAGTGACTCAATCAAAAACACTCAATTCATTCTCTTTTCGCTTCATATGAACTTATTTTCCCACCCATTCATATATAAAATTATTTTAAATAGTAAATCGAGATTTTTTAAGGACTTTTATAATATAGAAAAACACAAATGATTTAGATATACTTGTTGGGATCGGTGAAGTGAATAGTGTTAGGCCCGACAAATGAGACAATCGTGTAGCAACGGGGTTAAAAGAACAGTTTATAGTGTTTAGCTTAAGACACACTATATAATGTCTGAAAAAAGGAGGAGACTTTATGCAATGTATTATACAAAAAGTTTAAAGTAACCCAAATCGGCTTTAAACTATACATTTACGTATCATGGAGCATGATGCATAACAGTTTGTCAAACACAAACCAGCACTAATTATCTATTCTTACATATAAAAGTAGAACCAATCACAGTCAGCTTTTGCCATCAATCCTTTAAAATTTCCAAGAAAACAACTCCTCACGCTGTGATAAAATGATCCTTTATTCTTAAAATGTTGTGTTTGCAGACAAACTAGAACATTACTTCCTATCCAGAGATAACATAAGATTCTGTTTCACTTGCATCTCTTCTTAAAGATGCTTTCGTCGATGAAACTGGGAAATCCTTTGAGCACATCTCGCAGAGCGTAGTAATGGCTATCACATTTATGGTCTGTAATGAAATTACCTGAGAGAAGTATCCTCTGAAAATGTTGTCCTGGATCTCTCTTCCATAGACTATAGTATTCTACTTGTTTTCCTGCTGCACTTTTCGGGTTTCCTCTTAGGTTCCTCATCAGATAGTAAACTGCGCCCGGTACATATAACTCTTCTGGCAATTTAACAACATCTTTAGTGGTAGATTCAGCGATTAAAGTCTCAGACTGGTTGTTCTTGGATGGCGAGATTTCTGATAAGAATCAAGAAAGATGAGATTAATGAAGCGTTAGGTATATAATTAAGCCTTCTAATGATACACAGAATCACGCGAAAGAATCTTTTGTTCAAGTAGTAGTTACCAGGAACTTCTTTTTTGTTTCCGAAGTTTGCATAATCAGAAACTTTTCGAGCTACGTCTTGCACAGAGGTGACAACTTGTTTCGCGTTTGTTACCAAATCCATTACGTTCTTCCATTCTTCCTTCTCAATTACACTTGTCCTGGATTTACAAGTCATAGCGGTAAACAAACTGATTGTAAGAGGTTAGTCGAGTTTCAAGAAGAGACGTGTTTGCTTACCAATCAGTCTGAAGGATTTCATTCCTTAATCTCGCTAGAGAAGCTGCACTGAGTCTAGGTATAATGTCGTCCTGAAATTGGGGGAAATGCTGTGAGTTCCAAGAAGAATAATCTCAGCAAAATTTGATCAAGAAGATAGGGATTTTTTGTTCTGACCTGCATTACAATAGTTGTTACAAAATCAGAGCAATTCTCTGCAAGCTCTTTGGAAACACAAGGAGGTGTCGCATACCCCACGGCTGAAATACTTTCAGCATCGAATCCCAATTCCTCCCTTGGCATTTTCCTGAGCATTATCGCCATTAACGAGGCTATAGCACCGCCGAGAGAATGACCAACAAGCCTTAGCTTGTATCCCTATGGGACATTCATTGCAATATAAATTCATCCTTCTCATATCTCATAAACAAAAGAAATGAGGAACAACAAGGATTATATCATCACCTCGTATTTCGCTAAGCATCTTCTTATAGTTTGCAATTCGTGATTAAGGAACCATCGTGCAGCTTCAGCGGTTCCAAAGTGTGTTGAGTAGCCTTCAAAAGTGACTTCTTCATCGCTCGAAGAGACAATGTCAGTGATAAGATCGTAAATTGTATGTGTCCCGCGTATTCCAAAGACAACAAGTTTCCTTCGATGATCAACGCCTATGTAGTATCCAGGCCTCATAACACTTGAATCTTTCACAAATTTAAGAATGTTATTCTCTCGAAGCATCGTGTTCTTTGCAAGACCACTCACACTATCCCTGTAACAACCTTTCGCTAACTCGGCATTGTATATCAGATCATAAACCTGAAAAATAAAAATAAAGCTAATTAGAATTTAGTAAAAGGGAAGTTATCTACATGACAATGATTAGAATAATGTTCTTACTGTAGATTCTGAAACAACTTCTACGCCCTTGACGTCCTCAAACGGACACAAGGATGCTTGTCTAAGGTATATAAGATAGAGACCAATTGTAAGATCACCAAAAGTCCAACCTTCAATACCGAGCTTACTCCTTTGAATACTAGCAATGATCTCAGACAGAGATCGACTACCAGGCATTGACTTCTCTCCTAGAGAAAACACACATTATTAACGCTGCCTCGGCATAATGTATATAAGAAACACAATAAATGCACCATATGATATAGACCTGTTGGAAGAGCCCATCTACGCAATTGCATAGCTGGCTCAAGTGCTTTAGTGAGCCACGCTAAGTCCAGTTTCCACTTTCCATCACCTGTATCTTCATCGCTAGAGCTATCACAGTCGATTCCTGATTCAAATTGTCTTCTATTCTCTAATCCGGACCTCGAAGAAGTGACACTACTAGACTTTCTCTTCTCTGCCTCCTGCTCTTCTAACTCCTTTCCTACCTTACCGGTCTCTGATAAATGCGATTGAAATCTTCTGATTACATTGTAAACAACTCCTTCATACAATCCACGTCTCTTCTTGAACGGTGAACCTTCTACAACTGAAAAACAAAAAAAAAGGTTGAAACTTGTCAAGAATTCTTACTAAATTCCAAAACTTTCATATCAAACATATGATATTAGTAACTAGCTATTACCTAAATTGCCAAGCTAAAATCTTATTAGAGTAACCATAAACAAGAGATTGTTTTTTTTCTTTCCACAAAAGTCATAAAACAAGAACAAAAGCTAAGTATCATCAGTGATTTCTCCGTGTTCAACACTCTATTGAAAAGGCTTCAAATTTCCAGAATAAGGGTACTTAGAGCTTACAAAAATTCCGTAGAAGCCGGTTCAATGCTCTGTTAGCCATTGGCGAGCTCAGAATTGGCTTTCTCCGGCCAAAAAAATCCTCCTTTCAAGGAAAAGGATCGTTCCGAAGACGACGGAGGAAGAGAAAAAAGCTTTAAGTAAGTGAAACTTCGAAGAAACGGCGGAGCATTAAGTCGGAGATAATCGGCGCGTGTCGGCCGAGCAAATCGGAAAAAACAAAACCGGAGGAAAAGAAGAAAAGCTCACCGACTGGATTCATCCAGACTTATTCAGTAATGAGTAATGGGCTTAATTGGGCCTTTTCGTATTAGTCCATTTAAAATCCAGTGATTTCCAAAGTAAAGAATCAGGGTATTTACGTCTTTTGGTCAATGAAATCTCGAAAGTCAAAAACTTGCTCTGTTTTTGGTAGAAACAGAGGATTGCTCTGTTTTTCATAGAGGGGAAATGAAAAACAAAACTTTATTTTGACATCAAAGAATGTCGTCAAACGACAAAAATTTAGAAACAGCAGGAGATTCAGCGATCTCCTTCTTCAGTTCAACTTTGAGATCCGACAAAGCCAGCTCCATATTCTTGATGCGTTCCACCAATTCTTTGACCCGAGAACTACCGGCAATTGCATTCTTCCTCTCCAAGGCAACCTCCTCAAGTTTTGTCTTTAACCGATCCAGCTTGAAGCCCGCTTCTGTTAGCTCGCTAAACTCGCTGTGAGCGTTTCTTAGCATAGTATCAGTAAAGCTACATGGAGGCTTGCGCAGTGTCTCGATGAGGCCGAGCAGGACATTCATGTATGCTGTCTTCACTACTTGGTTCTTTGGTTTGAAATCTACTGCAATGTCCGGGTGCTTTACGAAAATCTTGCTCACTAAAACACCCTGCGAACGAGAAAGGTGGTAGACCATTTATTATATATCAACAATGTTTCAGTTATTCTAAGGAAAAAAAACATAGAGTACACGAGATCCTTAACTTACTTGAGTATAAGGAACTTCGAAACCTTTAATACGTAACATCCCCTTCCCAGTTACTTCTCCTACCTCAACACCTTCAACTATTTTCACTTCGACTTTAACGATCAGTTTGTCGTTCCCAAGAAACCCTTCTTCTTTAAGCTTACTAAGAGGAAATACTTTGGGATAACCCCAGCTTTGGGTCTCATCACAGAACAAGCTGCCTTCTTCTGTGTAAGACATTAACCAAAATATATACTCCCTCCGTATTTTAATAATTGTCGTTTTAGAATTTTTATTTTTTTGAATTAGATGTCGTTTTCAAATTTCAATGCAAAATTTCTTACTTTTTAATGTTTTATGATGTCATAAAACATTAAAAAGTAAGAAATTTTGCATAGAAATTTGAAAACGACATCCAATTCAAAAAAATAAAATTTCTAAAACGACAATTATTAAAATACGGAGGGAGTATAAGCTAACATTTTTACAATCTGCCTAGTGCCTGCTTCTATATAAAGATATAGACTTTTCTTATTCATTAAGACGATATGATATATAATTATTGTTCCTACAGATTCAAACACGGTAGATAGGATCATTACCAGGTGTACTTGATATTTGGAGCTCTTTGCCGGATTGATTCAACAAAACGAAGCGATAACTAACGCTCTTTTTCCATCCAAATTTCAATGATTTAGGACTAGAAACATTCAAGTACACAGCCAAGTGATCACAACAATAGTCTCCCTTGGGATGAACGGTAACATACCTGAGAAAATAAAAGATTAAACCTTATTTTAAACTCTACATCTAATTTATTGATATATCATATATCTAAGGGATATATTATCAGCATATATTCTTCAATCTATTGTTCTCGTTTTACCATTTGCATCCGCCGCATTCGAATATAGAAGACGATATCTCAGCTTCCTTCTCCGAGAAGTTATCTATCTCAAACGTGAAACTCGTCTGCTTTTGATTCCTCGTTTCTGTTCAAAATAGGCTTTGTTGCTTTCAGAAACTAAGACAACGAAAAAAAAAAAAAACGAAACTTAACAAAATCACAACACAAACAAAATGGGGAGAATTAATTACCTGATAAACTCTTTTCCATTTGATTCCCCATATCTTATCAAAACGCTTTCTTAATGCTTTGTTTTTCAAAGACAAAATCTTGTTGAGAAATTTGCACTGCTAAGTTGTAATACCAAGAAGAAAAAAATTCTAATAGACTTTGGAGTTATTTTCAAGGAATATTTATGTTTTATACACTACCTTTTATTTCTTTCTTTTATTTGCTTGATCATTATAAATGAGTATTTATGGACATAATTAAACTTACAAAATATCACATTTACTATGTTGGATACACTCAATATAAGGTGGTCACAATTCACAAGTAACATATCATTAATAAGATTTAGAGTTAGATAAAAAAGGAGAATTACATTTATATTTAGTTATATATATACAAAAAAATTAATTGAAAGGGTTGAAAAAGGGAAATATATTTACAAGAAATAAATAAAAGAGAAGAACAATTTATTACTTATTTTCTTACAGCAGCAATTTATTACATTAAGTCTTGGATTTTACAAAATTAATAATAAGATCCTTTTTTCAACTCATTCAATAAATTTTGTACATAACGTATATAACTAAAATATAAATGTAACTCTCTTTTTATTTTATAATTTTGTAATCTCTCAAATTCTTATTAATTATATGTTACTCGTGATAATAAGTGTGATATTTTCTAAGTATAAATATGTCCAGCAATACTCATTCATAATGATCAAGCAAATAAAAGAAAGAAATAAAGGTAGTGTATATAAACATTGTAAATATTTCTTGGATATAAGTTCAAGTCTCTTTTAAATCTTTTTCTTCTTGGTATTACAAGTCCCCTGAGCAGTGTAAATTTTCTCTACAAGATTTTGTCTTTCGCTTGAAAAACAAAGCATTAAAAGCGTTTTGATAAGATATGGGGAATCAAATGCAGAAGAAATTATCAGGTAATTCTCCATTTTGTTTGTGTTGAGATTTTGTTAAGTTTCGTTTTTTTTTTTGCCTTAATTTCTGTAAGCAAGAAAGCCTATTTTGAACAGACACGAGGAATCAAAAGCAGACGAGTTTCACGTTTGAGATAGATAACTTCTCGGAGAAGGAAACTGAGATATCGTCTTCTATATTCGAATGCGGTGGATGCAAATGGTAAAAGGAGAAGAATTGGACCTTTAAATTAAAGAATATATGCTGATATTTATATCGATAAATGAGATGTAGAGTTTAAACTAAGGTTTAATCTTTTTTTTTCTCAGGTATGTTACCGTTCATCCCAAGGGAGACTATTTTTGTGATTACTTGGCTGTGTACTTGACTGTTGATAGTCCTAAATCATTGAGAACTGGATGGAAAATGAGAGTTAGTTATCGCTTCGTTGTGTTAAAACAATCCGGCAAAAAGCTCCAAATACTACGTACATCTGGTAATGATCCTATCTACCGTGTTTGAATCTCTAGGACCAATAATTATAAATCATATCGTCTTAATGAATAAGAAAAGTCTATATCTTTATATAGAAGGAGGCACTAGGCAGATTGTAAAAATGTTAGCTTATATATATTTTGGTTAATGTCTTACACAGAAGAAGGCAGCTTGTTCTGTGATGAGACCCAAAGCTGGGGTTATCCTAAAGTATTTCCTCTTAGTAAGCTTAAAGAAGAAGGGTTTCTTGAGAACAACAAACTGATTGTTAAAGTCGAAGTAAAAGTAGTTGAAGCTGTTCATGTAGAAGAGGTATATGGAGCTGGCTTTGTCGGATCTCAGAGTTGAACTGAAGAAGAAGAAGGCTAAATCTGTTGCTACTGCTGCTTAAGCTTTTTCGTTTTAAGACATTGTTTGATGTCAAAATAAAGTTTTTTAGTTCATATTTTTCTTTGTGATTCATGGTTCCAAAAATTGTTTGATGTCAAAATAAAGTTTTCAAGACCTGAGTGTTGGCTACTGCTTACATTAGGGTTTTGATTAATGTCTCTATCTGATCTTTCTCTTCCTCGAGTGGTTGAATCAGACGAATCTTCTTCACTTCTCAATACTTTCTTTTATAGAGGAATTGGTAGGAACAGAGGATTTCCTCTGTTTTTTACTTTTTTCTTTATAGAGGAGGAAAGGTAAACAAAAGTTTAATCTCTAAAGACAAGTATAGCGAAACAAGGAAACCTAATGAATATATAAAAGCTTAAACAATTTTTGGAACCATGAATCACAAAGAAGTATATGAACAAAAAAACTTTATATTGAGATCAAACAATGTCGTCAAACGACAAAACTTTAGCAGCAGCTGCAGATTTAGCCTTCTCCTTCTTCAGTTCAACTCTGAGATCCGACAAAGTCACCTTCAGATTATTGATGAGTTTTTCCACTTCTTCAACCCGACAACCATCAGCAATTGCATTCTTCCTCTTCAAGGCAACCTCCTCAAGCTTTTCCTTTAACCAATCCAGCTTGAAGCCTGCTTCTGTTAGCTCTCTCAACTTGCTGTGAGCGTTTCTTAGCTCAGTCTCAGAAAAGCTCTGTGGAGGCTTGCGCAGTGTCTCGATGAGGCCAAGGAGGACATTCATGTATGCTGTCTTCACTACTTGGCTCTTTGGTTTGAAATCTACTGCAATGTCCGGGTGCCTTGCGAAAATCTTGCTCACTAAAAGAACCTACCAACGAGAAAGGTGCCATGGTAGACCATATATTATATATCAAGAATGTTTCCGTTATTCTAAAAAAAAATGGAGAAAACGAAGCCAAGGAGATCATAAACATACCTGAGTATAAAGAATCTGGAAACCATTGAGACTATACATTCCCTTCCCGGTTACCTCTTCTTCATGAACAACTTCAACTACTTTTACTTCCACTTTAATGATCAATTTGTCATTCTCTAACAACTCTTCTTCTTTAAGCTTGCTAAGAGGCAATACTTTGTGATAACCCCAGGATGGGACCTTATCACAGAACAAGCTGCCTTCTTCTTCTGTATAAGACATTAACAAAAATATATATTTAAGCTTACATTTGTACAAGCTGTCTGCTTCTACATTATTGTTCATTAAGACATATTCATTTCTTAGATCATTAAGATGATATGATCTATAATTATTGTTCCTACAGATTCAAACACGGTAGATAGGATCATTACCAGATGTACTTAATATTTGGAGCTCTTTGCCGGACTGAT